CTTATTTTTAATTAGTCTGAGCAATTTCAAGATAATTTGTTCCTGACACTGCTGCACCTATTCCATCACTTACGGCTAAAGAATGGCTGAATGGAAAAAACAGAAATCCTATTCTGATATCCATGTACGTAGGTATGGTAATAGTCATTGTATGTTTCGTAATAACTCTAGGTTAAAAAAAATTAAACTGCATAGCTGCCAGCTTTCATGAAAACATTAGAAGATTCCTAACTTTTGGGGAAATCTTTTATGCTCATAGAAAATATTCAAGTCTTACAAACTTTTGAATTATTTTTTTTAACAAAATCAAAAAATTTTAGAAATTTTTTTTATTTTAAATATTACTACAAATTCTGCATTACATTTTCATTCAGTTGAGTTTTAGTAATCAAGCATTCAGATGCATTTTTGAAGCTACAGATTTAAAATACCACTTTATTAGAGTGAGCATATTTTTTGTTTCTTCTATCTAAGAGAAAATTGTCTGCATGTAGTGTATATAAAATCTTAGTGCTGTTAGAATTTTAATGTTGTCTGAATTTTAAGCTCATTTTTGGCTTACTTTGAAATAACAAGGAAAAGCCTGTAGTTACTCCGAATGTTTCCTTTTATTTCATATAGTGTGCCTTATGAAAAGCCTTTTTTTTTTAATTTTGTAAAAAAGGTGATAAAACCTGCAGAAGTAAATTATTAAATTATACTTACATTATTAAATTATACTTATATATAGGTATTTTGTGTGAAAAAATATAAATTGTGTTTTCAAAACACAAGAAACATTTTTAAACAAATCTATCTATCATAATCTCTATATATCTTCAATTTCATTGAAGATATTTAACGATATTACTATTGGCAAAAAAGTATCTAAATTCACAATTGTAAATATTTTGTAAATTCAAAAATGCATTTTCGAAATGTTTCAAAGTACTCATTCACTTTCTCAATGATAATATACTTAAAAGAAAGAAAACTAATGAACTTTTCTGGAATAATGGTCTCCTTTAAAAAAAAACTTATTTACGGTCTTTTCTTTTACCCTGATTCTAGTTAGTAACAAAAGCCTTGTATTTGAAGGCAATACTGTTTAATATAGCATCTGCATCTTATTTTACAACTCAGTTTTTTTCTTATTAAAAAAAAATTATAAATTTTCTGGTCTAAAATTTCTTAAAATGTGAAGATACCATATTTTTGTAAACATTGTTAGTTACATATTCAGTCTATATTTTTGACTAATTGTCCCTGATTGATTATTAAGATCACGGACAAAACCTAAAACTAATAAAATAAGAGCATTCTCATTAACCTGTAACATTGTCTACCACATCATTAGTGTATTACTTCATGTTTTCTTATTTTTAAGATTATTNTAAGATTATTTCCAAATTTTTTTTTCTTTTTAGTTGGGTTTAACACTAAAAAAAACTGCTTTTTGTAGCGATTCAGAAAACCAGAAAAATCAGTTATCCTGAATAGCGATCGTCTCGACCGTTCAGGATAATCGGTTCCCTACTGTATTAATTTTTAACTACTAAGTATATTTGATTTTGTACTAAACATTTGATTTTTGCAATGAAAAAAAGTTGGATAATTTATGTACCCAAATCATCAAAATAACTTATAAGTTAAAAGGTTGAAGAAAAGTTGTGTGAAACTGCTGATGTATTGGGTTGTGTAGTTGATTAATTGAGCTGCAAGTTCTAATTTGTTTATTCTTTATTTTTCACCCTGATATCATGAATTACTCCATACATGAATAAAACTTTTGATCTCGATGTATTCCTTAAATCAGTATGTATTAATATTTATTTGAATTGCCATTTTGATTTGCAGTCTCTTTTACTGCTTAAAATAACTAACTAACAGAAAACCTGTTTATTTATTTTAGTGAAAGTAAAGAAATTCCCGATTTCAACGAACAACTAGTTTTAAAGGGACCAATTTAGCAAAGTTGTGTCAATTTACAGTATTACAGCAACACAGAGTATGCAACAGCTATTCTTGACTGTTCGGTTAAGTTTAACCTATCTTTTGCCAGCTCCATCTATGCTTATTCTGAATATAAAAGAAAGCATCAATATGGAGAAAAGCCACAGTTTTGAGAAAATGAAAAGTATTTATGCTCTAATTTTTTAATATTTAAAAACTTCAATGCTGCATTACCTTAGCTCATAAAATTTGCAAAATATGAGAGTAAGGCATTTGTTTGGATAATTTTTATCTGGGTGGGAAAATGACGCTAAATTGGCAATTTTTAAAAAGTATGTCAACTTTTAAAATAAAGTTATTTGTCTGTTCTAGAGCCTTTTTAATTTTTCAAGTGCGAGACGCTTAAAGTTTGACTTTTTTTTTTGGGGGGGGAGGGGAGTTTAAAAAAAAAACATTTGCCAGTTAAAAAATTATTGCTTGACCAGCTGACCATTTTGGTCAATAGACTGTAACGGGATGGTATACTAATTTAGTTTGGTATTTTTTTCCTGTGTTGCTCTCATAAAATAACATACTTATTCATGATTGTAAATGTTATATATTATCTTTAGTTAATAATCTAAATTCACTTTAATAACTTTTTTTTATTAATATTTAATATAATGATCTAGAGTAAATGTTTAATTTTTAACCTGCTTATTAAATTTTTTATTATTATAAAATTTTGCTTTATATAATGCTAAATTTCATTGCCTCATTTGCAGTTTTTATTATTAGTTTATAAAATCTGCCTATGTAGTTTATTAAATTTATTTTATTCAATAAATGAATAAGTGTTAGATGGTGTATTTTTAATTTTTATTTATCTATTTTTGATTTAATAGATGCATGTGAGTGAATCTGAAAATATGTACATAANATTCTGAATATAAAAGAAAGCATCAATATGGAGAAAAGCCACAGTTTTGGGAAAATGAAAAGTATTTATGCTCTAATTTTTTAATATTTAAAAACTCCAATGCTGCATTACCTTAGCTCATAAAATTTGCAAAATATGAGAGTAAGGCATTTGTTTGGATAATTTTTATATGGGTGGGAAAAGGACGCTAAATTGGCAATTTTTAAAAAGTATGCCAACTTTTAAAATATTTAAGTTATTTGTCTGTTCTAGAGCCTTTTAACTTTTTCAAAGCAAGATGGCACATGTAGTTTAAAATTATAGGTTCGGTTCAAGTGTGAGACACTTAAAATTTGAATTTTTTTTTTTTTTGGGGGGGGGGGGGGAAGGGAGTTTAAAAAAAAACATTTAACAGTTAAAAAATTATCTCTTGACCAGCTAACCATTGTGGTCAATAAACTGTAACGAGATGGTATACTAATTTAGTATGAGTGTTAACCCTGCTTGCTCAGTTAGCGCAACGTATAGCTGTGATGTTGGTACTCAGCACAATTTATAGCTGATTTTAAACAATATGCATGTTATAAAACTGAAACATTCAATTAGTTCTATATTTATATTATTTTTCATATGTTTTCTCCTTCTATGCTGTTTTTGGATAGAAAGAGACCATTATAATAGTAAATACCATTTTCAAATGCTCATTATATTTTTAAGAAATTTGACCTAACAAGTAGAGATTTTTTTTTCTTCTGAATTCATGAAAGTATTTGTTTAAATAATTTATGTTTAAAAATAAAACGCTATTTACAAATAAAATGTTTCAACTGTACAAAATATGTAGAGATGAAATTCTTTGATCGTTTTGCAGATTGCTTTGGTTTGTTGATTAAATTTTAGTTCTTAATTAAATTCTTATTTTGCAGTTAATTGAAACTTAATTAAACATTTTGATGAAATGTCTTATCTATATTTTTGTTTTAAAATATCAATATTACAATTAAAATAGTTAAGATCTTATGCTTTAAAATCAATGAATATTTTTTTCAGTTAAGTATTTTCATCAATATGTTTTAAAGATCCAGTTTATTTTTAAATGGAGAAAAGTATAACTGTTTTGTGTGAAATCACTCAGAATTTTTCTTAAGTTATCTTACAGACTGCTCTGAAGTATGGTATTTTGCTAAAAGTTACAGGGAACTGGGATAAGATTCAGATTTCAAATCAGCCTGAAAAAGAAGTTATTGACCGAGAAAAATTTAAGACTTAGATTTTTTTTTTTTTTTTTTTAAGTATGACTTAATTTTGGATTTTGATTTATTTTTGGTAAAGATCTGAATTTTTTCGAAAGGTTTGAAGGTGATTAGCCATAAACAGTCTTATGTTTGAAATTCTATAAAATATTAAGAATTATTTAAACCCAAGAGAGTGATTTGAAGATGTTTTATGCATGTTTTTCATAATGATGCATAATGCTATCATAGAATGTGTAACGGATAATGATTTTATATCGATAATGATACATATAACTTTAAATGTTTAATACTTTAAAGATTTTGTTGGCATTGTTTCTTTTCTTTTTTTTATCTGCAGTTATTATTCTCGAGTGTTTTTTTANTCTGCAGTAATTATTGTCGAGTGTTTTTTAACTAACACATCGTATTGCCGTGTGTTTTTTAGAATTGTGCATTTGGATAATGAGAATATTTTTTCTGAAGCTAAATATGAATTCTGTTTTAGGTCTTTTAAGATAGTAAACAATTTATTATTTTTAGCTATAAAATATGTGTTCTTTCATGAACTGTAACACAAAATACTAAATTTTTATTGCACATTTATTTAATAGCGTGTGAGTTAAGCATAAATTGTTCACTCTACTATTTTTTATGTGTGATCTGTTTTTAATACTTTCTAACATTTTTAATTTGTAAAAAGGCAATCCAAATGCAGCTTTGGATTTTAAAANTATTTTTAGCTATAAAATATGTGTTAAATAATACTTTCATGAACTGTAACACAAAATACTAAATTTTTATTGCACATTTATTTAATAGCTTGTGAGTTAAGCATAAATTATTCACTCTACTATTTTTTCTGTGTGATCTGTTTTTAAAACTTTCTAACATTTTTAATTTGTAAAAAGACGATCCAACTGCAACTTTTGATTTTTAAAAAAATGTGCTATAATTTGGAAGATTCTGTATATTTTACATTTTTTTGTTCTTTCTTAATAAATTAATCACACCTTTTAGACAATTCAAAATTGCTTGAATTTATCTCTGTTCATTTGTTTGTGTAACATCGCTTTTTAGATTGAAACAGTTTTCATAGGTGTTATAAATAATAACAAACATATCAAAATATGGAGTACCGTGCAAACAATAAAGTCATCCAAAGTAACAAGTTTTTTCTTTACAAACATTTTTGAAATGCATGTTTTTAAAACATGTTTTTTACTGAAATTGTAGATACAGTAGAGAACCGTTTATCTGGTATCCAGATAACGGGGGGAAATTTTGCTAGGTTATCCGGCCATTTTAAACTAGAACGATAATGAAAAAAAGCGTAAATTTGGCTCATCCTTGAAGTTGAGTAGAGGAAAATGTGGGGAAGGGGGGATTTTTTCTCCCTGTTTGCCCAGAGAAATGTCATTTCTTCTGTGACCTTGAAGATCTTTAGATTAAGAGGGGGCAGGGAAGTGAGGAACATTTTATTTTCTCAGAATCGCTCTTCTGATAAGCTGCCGTCAATCAAACTCAGAGGAGTGGTATGCTGATTTCGTTTTCTCTTTGAATTAGGAGGGGGTAGGGAAAATGCATTGCACATGCATATCAGTGAACAAAAGATGAAAGAGAAATAAAGAGGAAAAATTTATCTATTTAAGATAGATTAGCAAAACAATATTTTTTTTTTTTTGAATATATTCTGATTCTTTAGAAGTGCATTTGCAAGTTTTTCTTGATGTGGAATCACATCTGCTTTCATTGAAAATTGTGTTTTTATAAAAAAAATAAGAGGAGAATTGATTATTAATTTAAACATACAATTATTTTATGAAGCAGATTGTAGTTTTCTTTTTCTGATTCCACTACGTTTGAGTTTTTTCTTTCTTTTCAAGATAAATTTCGTACTCAATAAATTGATTCTTTTTATTCATAAATTTTATCATTAGGTTATTTTTTAAATTCCTTTGATCTTATTAGTCTTGCGTTTTTCCAGGTTTTAATATTTATGTTAGTGCCATTTTTAACTATCGTTTCGTTTTGATAATTTTCAAGTGTTGTTTTTATTTAGATTAATAAGTTTTCCTTTTTTTTTGTCTCTCCCCCCCCCCGTATTATTAGGTATGAAATATATTGCATTTTTTAGTCATTGATTTTGTTTATATTAGTTAATTTAGAAATTTTTATTATATAAAAATAATAAATATGAGAATTTTGTATTTCTTGAACTTGTTTATCTTGTCTAAACTTGCAAATTTTTGTTATTCTATGAAATTTTTTTTTCTTTTTAAATTGAGGACAGCTTTTATTTTTTCTGTTACTTTAAAATGTGTTACACTTTTTCCTTGTCTTTGGGTTCAATAAAACATAGATTAACGACACTTTTTGGTAACCGGGTAATTAAGATATCCTGAATCGCGATGGTTACGAACATCCCAGATAATTTAGTTCTCTACTATGTTTATTTGTTTGTGTAACATCGCTTTTATTCGTTTGTGTAACATCGCTTAACAGTTTTTATAGGTGTTATAAATAATAACAAACATATCAAAACATGGAGTACCATGGAAACAATAACGTCATCCAAACTAACAAGTTTTTTCTTTACAAACATTTTTGAAATGCATGTTTTTAAAACATGTTTGTAAAACATGTTTTTTACTAAAATTGTAGATACAGTAGAGAACCGTTTATCTAGTATCCAGATAACTGGGGAAAAATTTGCTAGGCTATCCCGCCTTTTTAAACTAGAACGATAATGAAAAAAAGTGGAAATTTGAGAGAGGGCAGGGAAGTGAGGAACGTTTTATTTTCTCAGAATCGTTCTTCTGATAAGCTGCTGTCAATCAAACTCAGAGGAGTGGTATACTGATTTCGTTTTCTCTTTGAATTAGGTGGGGATGGGGAAAATGCATTGCACATGCATATCAGTGAACAGAAGATGAAAGAGAAATAAAAAGTAAAAATTTATTTATCTACTTAGGATAGATTAATAAAACAATATTTTTCTTTTGAATACATTCTGATTCTTTAGAAGTGCGGTATCATTTGCAAGTTTTTCTTGATGTGGAATCACATCTGCTTTCATTAAAAATCGTGTTTTTATAAAAAAATAAATAGAAGGAGAATTGTTTATTAATTTAAACATACGATTATTTTATGAAGCAGATTGCAGTTTTCTTTTTCCGATTCCACTACGTTTGAGTTTTTTTGTTCTTTTCAGGATAAATTTCGTACTCAATAAATTAATTCTTTTATTCATAAATTTTATCATAAGGTTATTTTTTAAATTCCTCTGATCTTATTGATCTTGTCTTGTTCCAGGTTTCAATATTTATGTTAGTGCCTTTTTTAACTATCGTTTCGTTTTAATAATTTTCAAATGTTGTTTTTATTTAGATTATAAGTTTTCCTTTTATTTTTGTCCCCCCCCCTGTATTATTAGGNTCATTGGTTTTGTTTATATAAGTTAATTTAGGAATTGTGATTATTTTTAAAAAGTAAATATGAGAATTTTGTATTTTTTAAACTTGTTTTTCTTGTCTAAACTTGAAAATTTTTTTATTCTTTGAAATTTTTTTTTCTTTTTAACTTTAAGACAGCTTTTATCTTTTATCTTACTTTAAAATGTGTTACACTTTTTCCTTGTCTTTGGATTCGATAAAACATCGATTAACGACACTTTTTAATCAATCCAGAAAACCGGGAAATTCAGATATCCTGAATAGCGATGGTTATTGGGACAGAGATTTTAAGTTCAAAGGTTATTGAGACAGAGATTTTTTATTATTGAAAATCTCTTTTGGTTTAGACTGAAAATATGATTTTTTATATTATTAGCAATATTATTTTAATCAAAACATTTGTCCTGATTTTATATGATAATCATAAGAGCTCATAAGTTGCAATTGATTTATGACTAGAGCAATCAGTTTCATAACTTCTAATTTTATTCCATTTTTTTTTCCAGCTACATGACACACTATTTTCAATCATGTACCATTTTACACCATTTTTAAACTGAACATTATGATTCATTGCATTTCCATAAAATTTTGTCAACTTTCTTAAAATTTCTGCCTAGTGAACTGTTTCGCATGCACAAAATAATGCATTGCAAGTTTTATCACACATTTTAGTGAAAATCTATCTCAAGGAAGAGAGATTCATCAAATGTGACTTGATATCCTGAAGGGTCATCATCAGGATATCAAATGTATCACTATGTGAATCATCAGGATATCAAATTATTTGATTATTTGTTTAACTTAAAAAATTTTTTTTTTCGTATTGTTCTCCTAGCTCTAAAAACTAGAAACAGGATTTTTGAGTTTTCCACAAATGTGCAGAATTCCACTTTTTCTCTGACTTTTCGCAAATCAAAATCTTATAATCGGACAAAATGTTGAAACTTTTGTTAAATCACGTTAACAAGAGGTGTACGTACGTGTGATTTTTCCTGCAATTCTACCCTTTTGGTTCATAGAATTTTTGTTGGATAAATAAATGCTAAAAGGGGTTTTATCTATATTTTGATTGATTAAATAACATAAAGGTTATAGGTTCGATTTTAGTCAGTCTTTCAAGAAGACGATCTCGTGCAATCAGCTTACGTTGGTAACGCCTTGGTCTGCGGGGATAGGCCAGTTTCTGTTGGTCGTTCTTGTGTTGATCACGATGTCCTCGGTTATCTGTTTAAAGTGTATTTAACTTCTGTTGAAGCAGATTATTTTATATTTATTCTTTCTTTTCATTACTCATTTATCACTCTATGAGAGTATGTCTACCAGCATAATATATTTTTAAAATAAATTTATTGCCTTAGAGACTTTGTTTTCTTATTTGTTTTGTTGACAAACAGATACAATGATATTCTGTGGCAATCTCAGATGTCAATTTTCACAATTTTGAATATTTTACTACTAATATCGCAGAAACTGCTAATATCGCCATTCTTATTCGTGTCATTTTAATATCAAACATAAATTTTCATATTTATCTTGTGGCACCAGGCATGGTGCGTAGTCGCCAAAGGAATCAGCTGGATGACGTACACTCGATAACCTTAAATAATAGTTAAATTAATTAGAGTTTTTAATTACCTTTTACAGAATTAAATAGAGTAATTATTTAAAAAATAGTATGAGCCACTTACTATTGAATTTATTTAAATTGGTTTTGGCAAAACCTCATTTTTAAGAAATATTTCGGCTATATTAAATAAATTTTTAGGTTTTTTCCAAACTAAGACACCATTGATTCACTTGCTGTGTGATGAAATGGTATCTCTTGTTTAAGCATTGTTAGAGCGTTTTTTTTAAAGAGTTCTGCTTTTCTTAATTTGAATGGAAATGACTAAAATCTTTGGATGTAGAAAATGCAGAGATTTGCCAAAATTCAGATTTAATAGATGTTGGTCTAGAAATCACAAATACAATAACATCCTTATCTTCTTCAGGAAAAAATTCTATGTATTTAGGTGATAGGTCTATGGCATGTGCAAAAAAGTTATTAAAACCATTGCCTCTTGAAAATAGGTTACTGTACCATCTTAAAATGTTGCATCCTGTAATGAGAATGGAAGACACTTTTATTAAGTCAATAAGATATCTGGCAACAGTAACTCCAATCATTATAAATCCAGAAGAGGCATCTTTGTTACGTGGAGAACCAGAAGGTTATTCTTCTGACTCAAATGAATATGCACCAATTGATGTGTTTTGGAACTATTTTGTGACTTGTGATTTGATGTGTTTTTGTGTGTACTTGGAATATTTTGTGAAGAAAGATAATTTGGGAAACATCAAATATCCTCTTATAACAAAGCTTTTTAAAGCTCTTTTGTGCATACCACATGGGAATGCCGATCCAATATCAAGATTCATATTCATGAGCTTTTGAAACCCAATATCATGGCTCATAATGACCCATATCAAACATCTATTTTTGCATTTAAAGCTGATTTGAAAACTACGCAGTGCGATTCATATTAACAAAATCTAAAAATTACATGCATCATGGTTCGTATTTGCGCAATATAAAAATTCAATATTGCAAGTAGTATTTCCACAGTTTTAAAATCCAATAGCTTGATTCATATTGAACAATTTTAAAATCCAATATCGCAATTCCACTGAGAAGTAATTTTTTTCTTGAATTAGTTACTATAAAGGTGTGATATTTTCCATTAGTATTTCATTTAATTATTAATGTCAGTTAAAAAAAATTATTATGTTAAATATGAAGCATGTATAGCATATAAATTAATATCTAGATGTCACTTTTGTGCACAGAAAATTTTCAGGGTCTTTTACTTCGTGTCAGAATCACCTCTGTTACTTACTCTCTTCTTCATGTTGGATGTACTAGAATTCAGAAATTTCTGATACCGGCCAATGGCCAACTGTAACGTCTTTAACAGTAATGCATTTATAAAAATTAAAAATTTTATATGATTGGAAAAACTTTTGATAACGTAAGGCATTTCTTTTAAACTGTGTTCAAATGGGTCAAGGAGTTCAAGGAAAACCTGGAATTATCATGCAATTTGTTTACAAAGACCTGGAATATTCCTATATAATGCATAGAAAATAACCAGTATTAAAATTGTCAGTAACAGTAACCAGTTATTGGGATTCAAGTTAAATAATTCTAACATCTATTACAATTATTTGTTGTGAAAGTTACACATTTTAGTCAAACTGAAATGTTCCCTTTGTTCATTCAATAATAATCTTTTACACAGAAAATCTAATTTTTCACTCAATTTTCATTTTAATTTACCTAGTTTAACTGAAATAGTCAGGGAATTTTTTTTCTGAAATTTAGTGGGAACCCTGTTTAAGCATTCTCAAAATATGAACAACATTACAAAATTCATTTTTAAAAATTTAAAAGAAAAATTAAGTATGAAATTAAGTAATTTTTGGAATTTTACAAAATGCAAAAAATAATCCCATGTTTATTTTAAAATATTATAACAAAACGCACATGGGGTGCATTGTAGAAAAAAAGAGCAATTTGGTGTCTACTGACTGAC